AAGAGATGAATACATATAAATGGCTATCAAAGAATAATTCCTGGTATTTCAAAGATTAAAATATACTAAGAAAGCATAATTTTCCAAATATACTCCTACGGCAAATTTCTCTTAATTTAATATTTGTATATTAGATTACAAAAGCAACAAAAGATAAAAACAAACGGAAATAGGCTTTTGCATATTATGATACATATGTAGTGATATATAGCTGCTGATGAAAAAAACTTTATATATATATATATATATATATATATATATATATAAAGGGTGTTTCATTAAAACGTATTATATATAAGGATGTTTCATTAAGACAGATCAAAATCAGCAGTAAATAAATCAGTGTTAGTGAAATTTTATTTATTTCTCTATTTCTTTTATTTAAGTCATGTCAATTATATGTGAAAAATAATATCGCCCAATTGTCCGCCAAAGAAAAAAAAAAAAATCTTTAAAATTAATTCACATTAAAATCGGTCCAAGTTATTGGAACACCTTATATATATATATATATATATATATATATATATATATATATATATATATATATATATATATATACAGACACGTAATATAATCAGGCATGATGAAGAGATAAATTAGAACATTTTATTAACGACGCATTTCTCCGGAGAAGAGGGTGCTCTCCTTGGCTTCCCCAGGAAAAATAAAAAGAAAGACAAAATTGAAAGTGAGAAAAATTCCTTGGGATCTCTGTGGATAAATGGGATTCATAAATCAAATTAATTACCCTAACTTATCATCTCATAATTTCCAGGCCTACAGTGTGTCCGTTTCGTTTTCGTATTGTAAGATTTTAAACCAGGACTCCTTTTATATATATATATATATATATATATATATATATATATATATATATATATATGTATGTGTGTGTGTTTGTGTGTGTGTATGTGTGCATACACACACACACAAATACATATACACGCATTTCTTTCTTGCATTTTTGGATTTGATGAAGTCTACAAAGGCGAAACGTGTAATGAAATCTAGTTTCAATGAAACGTTTACCATTTGTCAAAATACTTAAAAATGATGTCGGGATTTTATATACTATTTTAGACACACACACACACACACACACACACACACACACACACACACACAAAGACATATATATATATATATATATATATATATATATATATATATAATGAATTGGATTAAATACGAATTACTGTTTATAAACACGCAATCTTTGACGATTTTTCACGAACGATGGTTTCTGCTCACAAAACGTATCTTAACGTAAACAATGACAACATATAATAAAATGGATTAATTCCGACAATTATTTAATATATTTTCTGTTTATAGGTTATTTTTATAGATACAATTTATTTAACTAAATGGTTTGTTTTTTAATTAAACAGTATTAATTAAATTTACCGGTCTGAATATTCGAGAAATATCATAGAAAATATGTGAAAAAAAAAAAAAAAAAATGACAGAGCATTTACATAAAGACTGAAGATAAAATGTTGCTTTTTATATTAGGCATTATGAATTTCGTAAAGGAGTAAGCGTCAGAACTGCGACAAAAGCCAATCAGAATTTTTATTTGGATCGGACGGTCAAAAAGTGGTTTGGCAGATTTCGTCAGGATGATTTTAACCTAAACGATCGACCATGCACCGGGCGACCTTCCAACGTTGATTAAGACGCTCTGTTTGCCACCGTGGAGAATAAACAAAAAATTTCGAAGAGATTGCTAAGTGTTTGAAAATCGATATCTCAACTGCCTTTTGCCATCTGAAGAGATTTGGTTTAAAGAAAAACGGCCGAAATTTGCATATTGAAAAGATGCGATATTCCATCACGACAATGCAGGATCGTATGTTGCAAAACAGAACAAAGAGTTAAAATGCGAAACCCGCCAGCAGCCACCGTATTCTTCATCTTGGCTCCATCGGAAAATGATGACAAAAAATTTGACTCTGTACAGTCAGTCGAAAACTGCTTCACTACCTATTCCAATCACGAAGATTTTTTCCCGCAGTAGGTTGCCATTTCTTTCTGCGGTAGACCAGTTGCCATCCAAGGTTATAGAACCCGGTCTGTCCTGCTATTTACCCATCGCTGGGGGGAGAAGAAGAGGATTCATAACTTTACCAAGTGTATTATTGTCAGTATTAAGCTCTTACTGAGCAAAATATTGGTACCATATTTTGTCTGCAGCTGCTCAGACCTCACTTTCTAAACTTGATAGTCTTGTGAGGTATGAGATATTTTCTATATCATTTGTTGCCACGTCGCAAGCCTGTCGCCACTCTGCCGCTATTTCCATGGCAAATGTTCAGAAGAGCTTTATTCTCTACTCCCAACAGTTCATAATTTTACTAAGATACGCCATGTTACTTCTACAGTCGAATTATCCTTATTTCCCCGTGTTCCAAATTTAAGAAAGAAGTTACATTCTTTCCCCCCAAAAGACTGCTGCTTTGTTGAACAGACTCCTTGTACTTCCTTGACACATTAATTCTGACCAGGTCAGGTCATTACTCAATCGTTACCAATCCTCATAATCTCCAGGTCCTACCGCCTTCTCTTCCACTCGTATCTGATTTATTATTACCATTTCGACTGTAACCCTCTACGTTCAGTGGTTTTTGAATCTTTTATTGGGTGAAATTTTAATTAAAAAACTAGTAAAGGAGACGGATTAATGTGTTGTGCTTATTTTCAAAGTGGAGAGGGCCAGTTTGGGTTGAAAATCAGCATTCTGAATCTTTGTTTTATCATGTCTCGAACACCGACTATTCTGTCGCTTAGAAATATGCAGCTATCAAAACTACATGTCCAATTATAGATGTTTATACATAGATATGATTATCGATAAATATATATATATATGTGTGTGTGTGTGTATGTGTATGTCTGTTTATAGATAGATAACAAAAGTGCAATCTCACCACCCTTCAAATTAAACTTAATAAAAAACGAAATAAGACATTTACCTAATTCATTTTAAGCAAACAAAGAACCGCCATGTTTATAATGTTTCCTACCTTCATTGTGAAGAGCGCGTGTTAGCATCGCATTGCTATCAGATATGGAAACGAAAGCAGGAAATGTCAAAAAGAAGTAAACAACGAAATGTAAGGAAAATGTTTTTAACATAAATTATATCTTATAAAAATTCGATGTTGATTAGGAAACAAGAATAAAAGAGAAAGAAAAGATGTTGATAGGAAGATATAAAAGATAAACAAGAAAGATAAATACAGAAAGGGGATGTGCAAGAGGAGAAAGAAAGAGATTTAATGAGGATCTGTGAATAAGAAGCAGTCTAACATTATGGTATGCGACGAACATTCAACGCACTTATTGGGATCAAAAAGGGAACAATGATTTGCATAGTTAGTCCGCTATTTACAATGTAGAAATGGCGCATGCACGAACTGGCATGCTTGATATAACTATCGAAAGACATTTATGCAAATTCAAAATATGTATGAAGGTTAAAGCTGTGGGCATTTTTGTGGGGTGGAGTGTGTCGAGGTAGCAAAGCAAGAACGAATAACGAGACTCTCGCGCCATCAAAGCAGAAGAAGAACCACCACCACCACCACCACCATAGGTTTGCCGTGAAACGGATTACTGGCGTTAAATTCTTGTAGTGAGTGCGAAATAGTAATAACGACTCCCTTTAGCCATTCCTTTCAAATTCAGATGAGCTGAAGAAAAAGTCAGAAATGTGAAATTTTCTTTGAACCTATGAAAACCTTACCTTCACAGAGATTGATCTGCGATCTGAGAAAAAGAGGGAAATAAATTCGTGAGCCTATGTGAAGTTGCATTTGGGCCAATGAAAACCTTGCCTTCACATAGATTGATCTGCGAGCTGAGAAGAAGAGGGAAATAAATTCGTGAACCTATGTGAAATTGCATTTGCGCCAATGAAAACCTTGCCTTCACAGAGATTGATCTGCGAGCTGAGAAGAAGAGGGAAATAAATTCGTGAACCTATGTGAAATTGCATTTGGGCCAATGAAAACCTTGCCTTCACAGAAGACCGGTGAGCCAAGAAGAAAGAAAAGAAATTCGCGAGCGTATGCGAAATTCCTTTTGATATAGAATCAGGAGAAAATTGAATTAATAAAAAAAGAGTCTCTAAAGTAATGTGGAAGGTTTCGTTTCAGTTTCTTGCATCTAGCGTTGATGTTTTCGCCAGTGTAAAAATTACTCACCAATTATATAAGTGGTTTTTAATCAAGCATGGGGCACTCCCAAGAACTTTCTTTCAACAATCCAAGAAAGTTAAGTAATCCAAACTATCTTTTTTCATCTACTTTTGAACGATGGCAACCGCATATCCATTCGGTGAGCAACGAACGCACTTACCTTTGTTTTAAACATTTTTGAATATTATTTTGTGTCAGATCATTTAATCTGTTGCTGGAACATTTCCTCTTCATGACAATTCGTTAAAACTACGGACTTAAAAAAAAGGATTTATTTTCCTGAAATGAGCTACCGACACAATTTCAAGTGTGCAAATTCGTATATAAATTGCTTATCTTGTTTTGTGAAAATTACCAGTGTGTTTTCTTGTCATAATCATCCTTCATTAATCTTCTTGGCGTGGGTAAATCAACTGTTTATTTTAACCTGTCAGCCCCACGTCACTATAGTCTCATCATTTTACTCTTGAACAAGCTCGATGTAACTGCCACTTCTAATAATTTCTTTTCTCGCACTTCTTACCTGTGGAACTCATTTCCGATTTCTTCTTTCTCACTTAAAATCTTCAAAAATTTAAATGCAAAGTTAATCGCCATCTTCTGTCTTTCTGGATCCTGTCCCTTTATTGTCCTTTCCTCGCTAAAGTCTTCTCATTCTCTTTCTCTTCCTGTAACCCCATTTCGTCCTAATGGCATTGTCATCATGTTTGGGGTGAAATGATTTTAAAAAAGCAAAATCTAATTTCCACCTATTTTGATTTCTAACGTTTGGTTTGTTCGCTTTCTTCGCAAAATCTAAAACGCGGTGAAAGAAAGCAACGCAAAGAGAAAAGAACGGAAGTGAGAAAACAGTAGCAAATTCTTTTCACAAGAATAAAGAAAGAAAAAGAAGATCGGAATTATATTAAAAAAAAAAAGCCACGCAAGAAGAAGGACCTAAATGTTTGAAGAGAAAACGAAAATCAAAAGGGAAAGGATTAGAATACAAACGACCGAAGCAGGATTTTGAAAGATGGAAGAAAATACACAGAATAAATGTTTCAAATCAAATTAATATTGCACTTATAAAAAACCTCAGTTGCAACATGAGTCTTTGTTTATCCAATATGGGAACACTTCGTATTCAAGTAGTGAGCATTGATTATGAATATGCTATGATTTTAAAAAATTATTTACGATTTAAAAGCAAAATTTTTGTTATTACTTTCAGTAACATTTTATCTATGATTTGAAAATAAAATATATTCATGAGTTAAAAAATGAATCGAGTTGAAGAAAATATTTTATGATTAGAAAATAAAATTTATCATTTTAAAAAATTATTTTAACATAGCATTTTATGATTAGAACATAATTTATGATTAGAATGAAATTTATGATTTGAAAATAAATATTGAAAGGAATTCATTAATACTTTTTATTTAATATAATTTTTATTTAATATAATTAATATTTTTATTTAAAGTTAATGAAAAGTTTTAAATTGAATAAAAATTTTTAACATGAAAGAAAATAATATTTTATATACAATTTGCAAAACAGAATTTACGATTTGAAAATGCTATTTTAAAATTTGTAATGCGTATTTTATGATTTAAACAAATTATTTAATTTCTAAAAAGAAAAATTGTTTTAGTGTAGCATTTTATTCATAATTTGGAATGAAAATTTTATTCATGATTTACAAGTAATCCTATGATTTGAATGAAACAAATACATTCAAATGGCATGTACTGTATGAATCCCTTCTCCCAAAGCTATGGGTTAAATAGCAAAGCAGACTTTAGTTGGCAACCAATGTAGAAGAAGGACACTTGAATTCAAAACCGGATGGGTGTAGGGCTAGAAACTCCATCCCGTGAAAAACTACTCGCTTCGGAAATCGCAGTAACAATACCTAGCATGGTAGGGCTGTGACCATAGCGTGGTGAGGCTATTGTCCTAGCGTGGTGAGCCTGTGGCCTAAACTCTACAAAAATTTTACAATGTTTGTATGTGAATCTGAACGTGGAACCGGCGAGTTAGGTTCAAACTCTAACCTCATCTGCTGTGTTCACTTTCGGAAGGATACCTTTGGGAAAAGAAGAAACCATTTATTTCCCCCATTCCCAGCCATGGTCTAAATAGCAGGGTAGACTGCACTCATCAACTTTGGGTGACTTTCAGTCTAGGAGAAGCATAACTATGAATGTAAACCTGTGGAAAGGCAGCTAGAAACGACCCCACTAATTTTCCCACGAAGTCATGGTAATTAACAGATAATAAAGGTAACAAATGCGTGGAGTTCCATGAGCGCCTATTTCGTGATGCTATTAAAAAATATTTGAATATCTGTTGTCGCTGTCGAGCACCATCGCTCCAATCCCCAACAAGATCCGTTCATCTGAGTTTCAATGTATCTTTAAAATTCTAATCATTTACACCAAAAGTTTGGAAAAAGGAGAAAGAATAGGTTCACGGGTGTAAAAAGAAAGCGACGAGAAAGAGGAAGAAGAAAAAGAGGAAGAAGAATTAAAGTAAAAAGAAAGAAGAGAACACGAAATAAAAAGAGGAAGATAAAGCAGAGACAAGAAAGTGTATAAGAGAAAAATAAAGAAGAAAGACAGAAAGAAAAGAAAGACAAAAAGAAAGAAAAAAGAAAATAAATAAGAGAAGAAAAGTATAAGAGAAGAAAAGTGTAAGAGTAAAAAAGAAGAGGAAAATCAAGAAGGAAAAGAGGAATAGAAAGAAGATGGAAAAGAAGAGAATTGAAAAAAAGAGAGAGAATAGGGAAAAGAGAAGAAAAAGAGAAAGGAAGAGAGAAGAAAAGAAAGAAGATAAAATAAGAAGATAAAGTAAAATGAAGAAAATGAGATGAAGGAAAAAGAGAAAAAACATTGAAAAAAAAAGAGAAGAAAAGTGGCCGAAGAAATGGAGGAAAAAACAAAGAGAAAATTAAAAAAAGCAAAGCAGAGAAGAAGAAAAAAATCTAAGAAAGGAGAGAAAAGAAATAGAAAAGAACAAAAGAATAAATTTGTTGGGAGATGAGACAAAGAAGAAAGAATGAAATTTGAAAAGAAACGAGAAAACTAAAAAGCCAAAAAAACAAGTGGAGGGAAAGAGATGAGATGAGTGATAGAAAAAAAAAAGAAATGATTAAAGAAGAGAGAGAGAGAGAGAGAGAGAGAGAGAGGAGAGAGATGGAAAAAGGGAAAAGGAAAGAGAAAAGAGAAAAGTGGGGAAGGAGAAAAATTGAAAGAAAGGAAACTAGGAAATTGAAAAAGAATAGAAGCAAGGTTGAAAAGGAGACGAAGAAAGAGTAAGATGGGAATAGAAGAAGAAGAAGAAGAAGAAGAAGAAGAAGAAGAAGAAGAAGAAGAAGAAGAAGAAGAAATGGGAGGAGAAGAAGAAGAAGAAGAAGAAGAAGAAGAAGAAGAAGAAGAAATGGGAGGAGTAAAAGGATGGGGAGAATAAGAATAAGAATAAGAAATAGGAGGGGTAGAAGGATGGGAAAAAGAAGGAGAGAAAGAAGAAGAAGAAATGGGAGGTGTAGAAGGATGGGAAGAAGAAGAAGAAGAAGAAGAAGAAGAAGAAGAAGAAATGGGAGAAGAAGAAGAAGAAGAAGAAGAAGAAATGGGAGGAGTAAAAGGATGGGGAGAATAAGAATAAGAATAAGAAATAGGAGGGGTAGAAGGATGGGAAAAAGAAGAAGGAGAGAAAGAAGAAGAAGAAATGGGAGGTGTAGAAGGATGGGAAGAAGAAGAAGAAGAAGAAGAAGAAGAAGAAGAAGAAGAAGAAGAAATGGGAGGAGTAGAAGAAGAAGGAGGAGGAGGAATGGGAGGAGGTAAACTATGATGACGAGGAGAAGAAGATGAAGAAGGTAAAGTGTTTTGAATCTATTTCCTAAATGAATGTAATATCGATTTTTATGGACCGCCTGCGTCTACGAACATGACTCGTTTTAAAATGGCGATTTAGAGAATGATTGAAGTTTCACTTCTAACTTCAACATATATATATATATATATATATATATATATATATATATATATATATATAAGATTAACTTATTTGTACGATGAGATTAACAGATTTAAAAACTGTTCCACGTATTCGCATACATACACGCACACAGACGGAAACAAAACTTAGCTAAGCAAAAGCACGAAAAATCAAAGATCAGAACGCAAACAAAAAGGCTACAAATGTCACAGAAAGTGAAACGTTATTAAAATGTCTTTCTAAAGAACGATGACAAAGTTCTTAATAAAAAAACAGGGAAAAACGAACTCAGTAAATATCAAAGTTATATTAAAAGATAAGCTTGACAAAAGATTGTAATTTGATGCGTGAATAAATTGAAGGTAAAATAAGTCTCGCTAAAAAGCTAACAATATGATTAAGAAAGTAAAAAGCCGCTCAATTTAATCGGTATGTATGCAGGTCGACTCTCATAAAGTATAACAGTTTTCACAGAAAATAATAAATAATAATAAATAATACATCAAAATCTATTGTGAAGGAAAAAGATGATAATTTAATAGTAAATATTATATCGCAGTATGATGGCGCAGAATATCCCCCTTGTCTGAAATAACAGCAATATAATTATAATGTTAAACTGAAATCGTGTCTATTCGAGAGTATGTTGAAAAGTACTCAGCGCAACCAAGATGCCCTTTAAAACAAGATCCGATGTTTCGTCATTTTGTACGATTTTAGGAAGTGGGTCAACTCGTGAAATTTGCAGCACCCCCTTGTACCATAATCATCATCAAATACATAGCGAAATATTTCCTATTATTAGAGCTCATAAAAATTGTTAATTTACTATAAAACTGAAAATACATCAAAAGGGAAACAATTCTTCAAAGTGTCTTTTTTGTTCGCATTTTCCTTAAAACATTCCCATTGCTCATTGTTTATGTTATTCTAAGCATCCTGCTGTAGAGTCATATCTTGGTTGTCTCTTCATCTGTGAGCATTCACTGCCATATAGGAGGATGGGTATTATATAGCACCTTATCCTTTATTTATTTTCCGGCTTCATAATACTTTGCTTAACATTATTAAGACGGTTCCCGATTTCTGTATGAGATTTTCCATCATTTGTTAAGCCCCTTCCCAGGAAAAGTAGAGAAAGCTCTCCACTAATGTTGAAAGGCTTAATTCGGAAGCATTGTAGTGGGCTTAAAAGATCAGAGTTGAAGGAGGCATTGTAAACTGGAATAAAAAAAAATTTAATCGCTATAGCTCTGATTAAATTATATAAAGATTGGGATATAGAAGACAGGCTGCTTGTCCTGGCCTGGAAAATATAAAGGTGAGACATCAAGAAGTCTATATAGATCTATCTAGAGTCGCATTCATGAACATAAAAAGACTTCCGTTGGAATAACCCGTTATTTCTCTTAATAGAAACAAACTATTCTTATTGTAAAAATGCCTTCTTCTTTCAGAAAAAATTTAAAAAAAACAACTCATTATAAAAAATAACTACAAAGAATATTAATAAATAATCAACATACAAACAAATACTCACCAAATACACCAAATATCAACGATATTTTTTAAAACTATACTTAAATAATGCAAGATACAAGCATTTGCAGATGATGTAACCTAGTATTATATACTCACTTCTAGCATCTTATATTTCTGCTTCTCCCTTCTTTAGTTAGCACGACCGTTACGCCCTGGCAATACCGTTTTGATCGCATGGAAAGACAGAAATGACATATCAGAGACGCTACTTGGTTTCAGGGAGAAAAAGAAAGGAATAAAAACGAAAGGAACATAGGAGTGTTTAAAATCTGTTTCAGCGAAATAGACAAAGTAGGCAATTTCCAATATTTTCATTTGGTACAAATGAAAATCGAAATTGCCAAATTTGTCTATTTTTTTATTTCTTAAAATAACGACCGGCATTCATATTTATGATTGTTATTGCAATATTTTGCCAAGATTATTCAGCTCAAATATTAAACGATATGATCGGGGAATTTCTACGGGTTGTTGTAGAACTCGCCATGAGCATATTCAGTCATTAACAGAAGAATTAAGATTCATCAGAAAATATAGGAAAATTTCTACATGTATTTTTAGTTTATCATATTTGTCATGCACAAGTGAACAAACACAAACTGAAGTTACGTTAAAATTTTAAAAATTAAACATAGACATGATCTATACATAGAACGTACTAACAACCATTAAATTAAACATAGTCGTGATCTATACACAGAACGTACTAACAACCATTAAATTAAACATAGTCGTGATCTATACACAGAACGTACTAACAACCATTAAATTAAACATAGACGTGATCTATACACAGAACGTACTAACAACCATTAAATTAAACATAGACGTGATCTATACACAGAACGTACTAACAACCATTAAATTAAACATAGACGTGATCTATACACAGAACGCACTAACAACCATTAAATTAAACATAGACATGATCTATACACAGAACGTACTAACAACCATTAAATTAAACATAGACATGATCTATACACAGAACGTACTAACAACCATTAAATTAAACAGACATGATCTATACACAGAACGTACTAACAACCAATGAAAACATAATAGACATAAAATTTTAAAAAATGATCCAAATATAAACACTAACGCCAAAATATATACACGTGAAGAACCACAGACCTAATGAAAACAAAACAAGAAAGGATTTGAGAATTAAAACGCGACTCCATATTATTCCATCTCCAAAAATTACTGATGAAGGTAAATAAAGACCGAAACTTGTTAAATTTATAGAGCATTGTCTGAATTTTGGGGATGAAGAGTTATCATTATTTCCATTTGGACTACTGTGTCTACCTTTGTTGCTGCAATCCCAAAGTTTCGAATGTTGTGCCCTCCGATCTTCATCCGGGTAACTTACGGAAGCGCCTCTCTCAGATTTCTTCTTCTTCTTCTTCTTCAAAAAAAAAAACTAAAAAAACTGCTGCCCTTGTATCAGAATAGAGGGATTCTTATTGGAATGGATGTTCCTGGGGATGGCCCCGTGACCTGAACATCTATTGGGATAAATTCGTGGAACTCGTACATACGATTCATCGCTAAAGATTCTGAAAAAATGGTTGGTTTTCTGTTCCGCTCTAACCTGACTCCATTTGCTCTCATCTATATTCAGGTCAAAAATGGCGTACTGTTGCCCTATAATGGCAGGAGCTGCCCAGTCTTAACTTTCAACTCTCTATAGAGTCCAGAAGCGTCTCTGCGTCCTTGTGGGTGACGAATTATTTTCCACCTTACAACCACAGTCGAAAAGTCGCAAGCATCTCGCTGCTCTATCGCTAATTCCATGGAAATTGTTCAGATGAACGACATCCCTTAGTTCCACCAGTCCCAACGTACTCGGCTAACACCCGCAAGGCGACGCACATTGTAATGAACCACCCTCATTCCCTTCGTATTCATTTGGTGAGATGTAAGTTCCACTCGAGCAGGATCTTCCTACAAATCACTGCCTTGTAGAACCAACCAAGATGTTGCTTTCCCAATCACTACTATCTTAATCTTTTCAAATCAAGGGTTAACCGTTATCTTCCACACATATCCGAATAAGCTATGCCTTTTACTTTGTAATTCTTTAGCTCGAGTGGCTCTCGGTCCTTGTACAGGGTTAACATCTTTGTAATAGAAAAAAAAATGGCCCTCGCCTGCGGGAATTAATTATATGATCCAGAAGGATTGAATGAGCCGAACTTATCCGGGAATTCGTTGAAAGCAATCCGCGTTCTGGAAGGTCTTAAACAAACGGAACACCTGAAAATATTTGAAGCCTGCGGGCTGAAACCAAATGAAATTGGTGATTGACAGCGTGAGAATGAGAAAATCCAGAGATTGAACGAACTAACTAGAAACTAAGTAGCCATTATGGATATCTCGACTTCATGTGTCGGTTAGAATCCCCCCCCAACCACTACCACCCACCACCACCGCCACCACCATCACCATCTATACTCCATATCTGGACCCTTACAATTCCTGTTTTTTTCCTAAAGCTGACATCAAGATGGACGAGATTAGCGGGAATTCAAGGAAACAGCTAGTGGCAATCTGATATGATAACATGGCCAAGTGTAACTAGCAGCAATGCCCATTAAACAGAACTGATAAAGTTTCCAAAAACGAATGTAAATTCCAGCAGACAATCAACCTAATGAGCCATATAACAAACCTCATCATTCGAATTCTGATCAATCAGACCGGAAATAGGACAGTGCGGGTTCGTCAAAGACACTAGAACAAGGGACGTGATATCTATGTTCAGAATATCAGAAAGGCAATACAAATGCAGAAGGACGTGTACTCGTGTTTTATAGATTACGGAAAGGCGTTCTATAAAGTATGCCAAAATGTTTGGTTTGGTTTATTTTGTTTTGCGGCATATCAACACCTCAGTGTTTTTTTTTTTAATGCCGACAAGATTTTTTTAGGATAAGTTCGTATGAATAGAATACGTATTAATTGTTTTTTTCTCAAAAATGTATTGCTAGTATTTTTACTATAAAAATATATTTTTATACTTTCATAGTGTTTTTACTCCAGCCTTGGGGTTACCTATGTCCCCATAGTTGGGACCCCAACAGGTGCTACCACTCCGGGTCAAGTTGGATCACGCCACAAAGGTGTATTGAAACTTCTCAGCAACCTTGATATATTTGTCATTATTCTATCAATAACCTATACTAGCAGCAAACCGCCTGCATATGAATAGAAAATGTGTTCAGCAGATACACAAAAATAGAAAAGGATGTAAGACAAGGATGTGTCGTCTTACCGGACTTATTCAACAACGAGAC